GTGCGTTTGGTTTTCAATGGGCGACTCAGAGGCCAATGATTAATATTTTTTTAGCTTATTTTGCTCCGCCTTACCTCACCACACACAAAAAAAAAATAATAATAATAATAAGGCACGGAAGGTGTAGAGAGGACAAGCGCTGGATTTCAACTGAATATTTAATAAAAGGAAAAATATAAAAAAAAACATATCACTATCGCGCCGACACGTGGGAAAGCTGGGGGGGGGGGGGGGGCGGGGGGGAGGCAGGTTGTATGTATGTCGCAAGTGTTTTGTTAAAAGTAAGAGAGTGATCTAAAAGGCCGCGATAACCCTACCCAGACCTAAGTATGCGAATGAGAGATTCGGAAACGTGTAAGCCCAATGCATTCCGAGGGCCGGGCATTCAGGAACTGCCCTTAGAACTAATTTATATATTTGCGTTTGGTATACCACGTGCGCATTGCGTGGTTAGAACAGCCAAACAAACAAGCAATGACTGATCTCTTTGTACCGTTCTACGGAAGGCCCCTTAAACATGTAATACGCTCGACCGCCACAACTTAGGGAAGGGAATCTATTATATGTCCGCAAAAAAAAAAAAAATCAAATCCCCCCCCTCTCCTTACAATCTACACCAGGGATTTTGCGGACCGATGGCACTTTGGCTCGGTATAAGGTGTTACTTGGCGCTGGTGTGCGTGGTGACCATACTTGGACAACTCGGATACCGTTTGTGCTACCTGCTTCTCGACGCTGTACTTTAGAACCAAGAATATCCCACCCCACCTTCTTCATCGGTTCTACCGCCTCCCTTCAGCACCGGTCTTTCGATATAAAGCTCACTGTATACAAAACTCTGGAGTAACCTGCCCTAGAATATGCCTCCCAAGTTTGGGATGCGCACACAGCTACTAAGATAATTAAAGAAGTTGCGGAGGTTTGCATTGCGCTTCCTATACAACCTATAAAAACAAACAAATATGTTGCTTCCCTTTACGGAATCGCTCAATTTTTTTTTACCAACTAGGCGTTGTAAATTAAGATTAAATTTTTATACTTTATGTTAAACGATGATGTTATCATAAACATTACACAACATTAAACTCCTCAACTTTTTCGTGCCACGAGAAATATTTATAATATGGTTCTTTTTTTATTTTCGTGTCTAAATAACCCTTTTATATTTTCGTTTTTTTCCACGTACCATCAAGGAATGAAATATGCTTTTTGAAGCAAATGTAATTTTGACATCACCTGTTTTATTTTTCGTGAATATAATTTTTGTTACATTTCCATGTATATTTCTAATGAGAATTCTTGGTGTGTTTCTGGTTTCTTTTTTATAACTTCTTGTGTGAATAGCCTTTTAATCCCTTCCGCCACAACTCCCAAAAAGAGGTTAGCAGTATGTGTAAATAAATAAATATATAAATAAATTAATAGAAATTTGCGAATTCAGGTTTCTTTTCTTACCTTTTTTACGAATCGATAAAAAAATATCATGGAAACCTTATTCGGCGTCTTGGCACTGGGGTCACTTAAAGTAACTAGAGTCGAGTTTCTGGAACTACAAAATGTTCATTATTATTAAAAAGGTCACAGATATCTAGTCTTACACCGACCACCAGAACAAAGCGATGCAGCTAGTAGGGCAAAATGAGAAACCCCGTTAGAAATGAATGAGAGCTGAATACTTGCGCTCGAAACATTTGAAATATACTCCGTGCAGTGAGTCACTTCACCACTGGAAGATTGGCTCACTTCCCCGGCACCTTTCATTTTCCCCTTCCAGCGGGCCCTGGTCGCTCACTTCCAGTCGACACTCAAGAGCCTCGAACGACGAAGACCATCGGGACCTCTACTTAGCGCCGGACGGGGCATCCCTTTGACAATAGTTTTAACACAGACACACACGCCTGCGAAGTCTTCGTGAACCCACATTTTTGCACGCCGTACACTGGATCCACAAAAAACGGGATCTGTTTGCTTCATACTAGTTTTGCTCATCATGCATTGCCAGTCACATTTGGTGCTTGTCGCGCTGTTTTCACAATGCTTCTGCTTCACCGGCTTATTCGGTAAACAAATAGTCTGCAGATGATCTCCTTCACCCCGAACGATCTTCCTCCTCGCTTTCATTTGATTCATAGTAAGGGGTAACTATCATCTGCTCATCATTGTACGTGAGCCCCAGGAGGGGCTTCTCCCTGTTTGGGATTTTTGTATTTTTTGTTCTGAAGGAACTTGCTTGAATCCCAACTCACTTTTATAAATAAGTTTCCTTTGCACATTCGTTGAATTTTCTGGCACGCTTTTGGAGTACATCCTTTGATTACCGAAGTCTTTTGCTGCGGCGGGAATACCGCTGCGCATGCGCACTTTCTGGAGCTTTCTTCGTGTTATGTTTGCACCATTAAGCCTTGGCTGTTGCTTTTTGCGTCCCTACTATCCTAGGCGATAAGAAGAAAGCTACAACTAAACAAACAACATTGAACCCGCGAAATACTTTTCTGACCCTGTTGACGGCAATATTGTGGCGTCTTGCCCCATAAATTTTCTCGTATTAAAAAAATTGTTGCATTAACAATAAGAAACCAAAGTAATAAAATTGTATTCTGAGTAAGCTAACGAAGCAGACAACTAAGATAATGGCTTAGCCTGGTACAGTTCAATGCCCAAACTCAGGTGCATACCTCCAGTAAAATGCAACTGCAGAATTTAACCCCATTTTGACGGTTGAACAGACACGAACGATAAGTGCACATTTCTTCTTGTCGGCACGTTTACACCAAATGTATAAGATTTTCTATGAAATGAAGCGGACAAGTCACGCTTCACTAGTGCAACGCAGCAGAGGCTGGTTGCACTATTTCTTCACGGGGCGCGGTGCCATCGGGGTCGAGAAGCGCTCCGGTTGCAAACCGAAACTTAAAAACCCGTTGAATTTGTGACGTTTTTCAGAAAGCCGTGAAATGCTGCGCGTGCCTTCTATCGTTCAGCAATTTGTTGATTTAGTGCTTTTCGATGCTTCTGAGCAATTTTCCAATGTAAACTGTGCCCTTAAACACAATATTTAAAAAGTTAATTATGCAAAAACAATTAACAACTTAATTATCCCCAACATTAATGACATTTCTAAATGGGCCCCTGGCACACGACCAAAACGACACAAGCTTTTTTTTTTTTTCTTTTTTGCGATGCCTAGTTTTTGCAATATCGAATTTTTCCACTTTTCGTGAAACCACCCTGTGTGTATATATATATATATACAGGGGTGTCTTTTTGTTACTCTTTCACATTTGTTAAAAAAAAGCCGTGAAAGCTACATTTATGTTGTTTGTACAGGTGAGTTAAACGGCCAGGGAGACATAGTACAAGAAGATAGTGAAACTATCAGTAAGCTAATTAAGTAAATTTTGTTAATTGACTTTATAATTAGTGCAAACAGACACATAGTTCCAATTACAAACTTGCTAAGCATCATCAAAAACCACTAAATCAACTTTTTTAAAAAGATATAACTCCGGGGCAGCATTTTACGGCGTTCTGTAAAAACGCTTTATTTGGACGCGTTTCGAGATTTCGGTTTCTTATCGTGGCGCATCTTTGCGCCCGCGGTCCTGCCCCCCGGTGGTCGCGGCGCAAAGCCACCTCCTTACCTCCCTCGTAGAATGGGGGAAAGTAGGGAGCACGTGTGTTGCGAGTTTCAGCCACTGGGGAGCAGGACCACGGGATCGTAGATACGCTCCGATAAGAAACCGAAATCTAGAAACGCATCCAAATGGAGCGTTTTCACAGAACGCCGTAAAATGCCTGCCCTGGCTTTATTTTCCTCTAAAAAGAGTTCATTGACTGGTTTTCGATGATGCTCAACAAGTTTCTAATTGTAACTATATGTGTATTTGCACTAATTAGAAAGTTAATTAAAAAAGTTTACTTAATTAGCCGAATGATAGTTGCGATATCTCCCTATACTCTGCCCCCCCTGGGCGTGTAACTCATTTGCAAAAGCCGCATAACTGTAGCTTTCACGATTTTTTTTAATCAAATCTGAAAGAATAGAAAAAAACATGTATATACATAGTGCTATATATAAATTATCTGCTGATTTCGGTACGTCATTAGACAGTGTGGCACCTAGTCCAGAACCATTGGAGTCAGATGCACCAAACCGAAATTTCTCGAAGCCGCTAGTCGACTCGAGCCTTCCATATGCATTGTGCGAGGATCAAACTTAGTTCTTAGAGAGCTACATGAAATGCTTGATAGGGGGTCATCAAAATCGCTCCCATGGCATTTTCGGATGACGCAGGAATGTAAAGACAAAAATGCAGAAATTGAAAGGGAATACTTCATTTTGAACTGCAGCGTTGTCCACCCTGATGAACTAAGTCCTAAGCAGGTCCAAGCGTTTTTTATAGCGCTTGTAAATTGATTATGAGACTCCTGGCTACCACCTCGGAGAACGCTAAGCCCATTCTTCTAGAAGAAAGGGATTTGATTTTACGACTTTTTTTTAGTAGGAGGATATCGTCGGCAACAGAAAAGCATTTGCGTCTGGCGATACTTACTGGTTCCACTGAAGCCATCCTGCTTGCAGAGTTACTTTCTATTGCTGGAAGCGTTTTCGCGAGACTACGGAATCTTTCTGTACCGGTTGTGTTCCGGGATCCCAGTTCGCTCACGGCGTATCGTACCGGTAGTGCCGGTAGTGCCGGTAAGATGCCTGACAGAAGACCCTGTTATGGTAACAACAACCATTCTACAATAATCTCCCAAGAAACAAAAAAAATCGCCGACCGTGGCGTTGCCCAACCAGGCTGCACGTGGAAGCCTCACCCTTTTATTTTCGAGCGAGTCCTCGTGCTGACCTTTGCTTTCGGGAGTTAGCTGAATTTCTCTAGTGTTACGACATTTGTAGTGTTACTGTTATGGAGGGTGCACTGTAGTTGTTACGAAGTGCGGCAACTTCTCGAGGGATTTACTGTAATGAGAAGTAACAATTATTGTTCACAGAGCGGAGACCGAGGCTGATGCAGCGTCAGCGTCTTACGTCAGCGTCGGTGGATGCCTCTGCTGCAGGGAGAATGCAACTTGACTTTGAAGCCATCGCCTATGAAGAGCTCGGAGAAACGCCGCAGCTGAGGAGGGACACAGTTTTGGAATTGCGAAAGCTCATCCATGGTAAATTGAGGAAACGAATGCCACAAAGAATGCACCTGTGAAACACCGACATTATGTCGGGTCTGCTTACGAGGATACATAAGCCACATGAAGTACTAAATTAAATTTAAGTCAGTTCAAGGTGTTCATTTATAAATGACTGACTGGTTTTAATAAGACGGCCATCAGGTGTGAGTAACTAACTCAACAACTAAAGTAAACGTCTTTAAATACAGTGCATATATCACAGTTGTACCAAAACTTAAGATATATTTCTCACGACGAACTTGATGTCAAACTGAAATATGATTATGCAAGTTTAAGTTGTTATAGTTAGAATGCCTTAAAGTGATGGAAGGTCTAATATTAGTGGTTGTCCTGTTAAGAAAAGGCCAAGCTGGCGTGCTCTTTTCTAGTTCAAGCTTTTTCTAATATTGTTTCCGGATGGGACTCTTATGCGTCATCACTCATGGCGATAAAACATGAAACAAAAACTGCCTAACCTAAAATGCAGAATTACTACGCTTAATTATGCAAGAGCACTCTTTGAGTTGATGAAGTCGTATGGAATAAAGACCTGAGAGACGAGGAAAATATGGGGATCGTCTGCCTTGCAGATTAAGCGTACTTTTACGTCGCCTTTTAGGGTGGTGCAAATAGCAGCTCGCTCGAGCTGGAAGTCGAAAAAGTGCGATGTTTTCTCCTTCGAAAATTGCCACAGACAACAGTAGTCTGAAGTTGCTTCAGACAGCTTTCGATGGCATTTATAATATTTGTCAATAGCGTTTAGAAAGTTCTCGCACCAAAGGATTGTACCAGTGAACCGCTATGTCCATTTCATTTGGCAGCTCAGTCGGACCTCAGGTGTCCGTCTGATGACGCCTTCCTGGTTAAGTTCCTGCGTGCCCGGAAACACTGCGTGGAGGAAGCATTCGGCACGATCCAGAAGTACTTCCGCGTTCGAGAACTACACCAAGACATCTTCCAGGATTTGTTGCCATCTAAGGTTATGTTCGACGCTATAGTTCGCCAAAGCAAAGTGCTTACGCTGCTCGAAGAACGAGATCATCTGGGAAGGCTAGTAGGTGTCCTCAAGTCGGGTGAGTCTCATAGATGTATATGCAATACAGTTTTGAAAGGAACGAGTACACGGACATCAAACGCATTTACATAGAACATAAGAAATGGATTGCCGCCTAGATATCATACAACCACGGATGGAACCATAGTCTCGTATAAGCACGAATTATCTAGAAATCGCTGCGGACAGTCATACCCTATGCTCCTTTATTATTTTGCGTATTAAAGTCAGAAACTTGCTTTGGTGGAGCCTGTCGATTCCAGTTAATTTCAATTATTATGGCTTAAGGGCCCCAGTGGGGCATTAGTATTAAATAAGGGGTAATATACACACATGAGACACTTTAATACAAAAGTAGAGAACAACTTATCAAACGCTGTTCGCCTTCAATTATTATTTGCAACATTCTAGTGGGAAAACGCATGTAGTGTGAGCTCTGTTGAAAGTAAGGGAATATAAATTATTGTCACAAGAAATTTCGGTATTGCATTTTACCTATTTATTCACGAAATGAGGGGTGCAGTTTTACAAGTGTTAGTTCTGGCAAAAGGAAATTCAAGCTTATGACAATGGTCACGTCGAAGGGAGATATATCATTTCATTTTATTTATTTACCTAACGGGCGTCTTTTGGGGACGCATTACATGAGAGGGTGGACGGTAATCACATTCGTTAAATAGAACAATATGACCAAACTAGTTCTTTAATCATAGGCGCTATATACCCAAGAGGCACAACCAGCCCGACATTTATACAATTATAATTTTCAACTTTAGACTAATCACACAATAGAGTCTATAGTGTGACGAGATATTTTCTAACAGAGACCACCTTGAATTTAAAGAAATTCGCGACAGTCTATGACATAGATGCTCGGAAATTTCGTTCAATTCAACGTGGTTTGTGTTAGAAAATATATCGTCTGGTAAGTCATTCGAATCTGTAATGGAAGATATGAAGGGAATAAACAGGAAAGATTTTATATATGACCGGAATTGCTGTACTTCCCATGGATTACTGGTTCGAGGAGAAATTTAATCTACGCAATGTCAAAATATGTTTCTGAAGTCTGAGGTACTATAGTTTTTTACGTCATGAAAAAAAAACATATCCGATTAAATGTGCGCTTGGTAGATATTGCAGAAGGGTTTGGATTTGGGCTAGTTGGTTGAACATGTTTAGGGGTTAAAAGCGCTAAAAACGACGGATGAGTAGGAGAGACACACACCACAGAGCGCTACTTGCAACCTGAACCCTGTTGGTTGGGAAACCAAATTCTATTGATCCTAGTTTAAGGGAATTTTAGAAAGGATGTCATGTTTCATAAGCTCTGAGGGTAAACTGGTGAGTGAAATAAGTCTGTAGTTCGATACATTTTATTTGTCTCCTGTCAGATGGTACGTCAGCAGAGTTCAGACTTGTTGGAAAAGAGCGCTGAATAGTTTTGATGGTAAGTGCTCTGAGAGCTTTAGAAGTTTGGCCGATATACCGCCATATGCAGTGGTGCTGTTTGAAGACGAGTCATTGGATCCCTTCGGAACAAAATAAATTAGGAGGCATACATATTTTCTGATAAGACGGAAAGTAGGAGAGGAGTGGAAAGATTTCAGGCGTAAAGACGCTGGAAAAGAATGAATTTAACGAATTGGCAGCCTAATCACCACAAAGCATTTCACATTGATCGTTAAAAAAATATATTTATAGTCTGTTTGGATATATTATTTTCCAGAACCTCTTGGGGTTCATTGAAAGAATTTTATGTAAGGTGACAGGAAAAAAAAGTCTAATTTCACTTTTTTTTACTTCGCATTTGCACAGGAGCGATATGATGACCAAGCAGCCAAGTAGTCAGCTCCATTCGCGTATAAGTATACTCTTTTCTTAATTCAACATACGTTTAAAATTATTGGAAAACCAGGAAGATACACAGTCAGATGTTCCAGCAGTGTTTGGCACAAATGTGTGAGGTAAGTCAACAAACGTGTTTTTAATAAGGAGCTAGCTTTGACTTGCGGATCTCTCGCTATGGGATGACATGTAATACATTTAGAAGTTCATTATTGCCGACGTTATCCCATCGATATTGGCACGCGAAAACACAAACATTTCTTCAGGAATATTTGTGGGGCGGTTAGGTTTCTGTGACGTTTGAACATGAATCAGAGTGTGGTCACTTTACTTATCATAATAGTGATAGACGTCACACATTCTGGATCAGAGGTGAGGAATAAATCCGGTATAGCAGTATGACGGGTTGCTGTGGTAATCATCTGGTAAATAACAAATACACTAATTGAAGAAAGGAGCTCAATACACCGGGGAAAATTTGCACAGTCGGGACGGGGCGTTAGTGTCGACCAGTTTATTTCGGAATAGGTAGCATCGCCAACAAAAAAGCAATGATCATTGGGAAAATTTCTGGTTACAGTTCCAATGCGTGATACAAAGAAATATTGAATTATGTGCGATGGATATGCTGCGGGAGGTAACAAACACCGACTAAGACAAAGCGAAAAAAACAACTTGATACGAATTCATAGCACTTCAATATCGGATAAGCATGCAATTGGAAACCGTGATACAGCTCTTTTGGTCGCAATGATCATACCACTGTACCTAGCCAGGTTTATTTCTTTTCAAATATTATTTTATGATCAATTTAAATGAGTTGGTCATTTGTTATATCAGGAGTTTGCCATATTTCTGGCCAGTAATATCGTCAGGCTTGCTAGATGAAGTGATGTTTTCAAGTTCATCTTGTTAAGATGAAGAACTTCGAATGTTTGCAGCAATAAAAGAAAAATTAGCACGAACAGTGCGATTCGGGGACTTGTGGTTTACAATGTGTAAGTCATCCTGCGTGCTGCAATCTCGGCGCGTGCGAAGTAAAACAACGGAATCACTATCTGGGTCATAAATATACGACTGTGTATCGCCATGTGCCTGTTAAAATTAACTTTGTATTTCGTTCCGCCTTCTCTAAAATGTTCGTCAAATTTCTAGAACTTCTGCTGCGCAAGGTGGACCTTATCAGAAAAATCTTCAAAGATTCGATTTCGCGGTGTTACATTTTTTATCTTGAAATGATTCCGAGAAAATTTTTGATTTTGGAAACGAAAAAATTTTACGATTATGGGTCGATTTGTTTTCGATTGTTTTCGACCCAAACCATGAGTCCTTTCAATTTCTCCCCAAACAATTCCCATTTTTTCTTGTGCAAAGCCAGTAACAATGCTTTTGGTAATCCCACTTCCCGTTTTCCAGTTCTTCCAGTCCTTTTAATATTAAATTGTTTCGCCTCATTCTGTTCGCCATGTCGTCAACAACACTGCTCATTTCAGTCAGATGATCACAAAAGGATATCGAGTAGGACTTGATTCTGTTCACTGTTGATTCTATGGTACTTCATTTATTCTGAATTTCAGAAATTTCATGTACTTGGACTTCAAGACTAGAGACCCAGGCTCCGAGGGCAGCGATGCCGCTGTTGACTTGATCTAACTTTAAAGAATTTTCTTGCTGATGTTGTTTGGATACTGCAATCAGGGCCTTCACCGCTTGCTGCTGCTTATAAATGTTTTCTGTGGGTGCAGGGCCTGAGTTTTCCTCAATGCCTCCGGCGGAAGCCAAAACCGTGAATATTGCTATAGCTGCCATGAACAGTTTCACAAACTAGAACATAGTTTTGACAGGCAGATGTAGTATCCTTGTATGTTGAGTCGAGGACGTTTTCTTCTTAAGTACAAAATAGCCGATGCGAGCTCGACACCCAGCACAACGAAAAAGAGCTAATGCAGGGTTGCAATGTGGAGACTCACAGTCACTTAAAAAAAGAGAAGGAAATCGAGCATCGGAGCCTTTACGCTCACCTGTAACGATATTGACGATATGAGCGCTAGAGTGAAGGGCGTGAATCCCGCGGTGTTCCTTGCGACGCCTTCTTCTTTAATTATTTGTGTTTGGTCGTGGTGATGAGGTTGACACGTAGCTTGGTCACGGGGTTCGTCGCCTTGATGAGTCAAGCCGGTAGAGGCGCTGTCATCTTTGGGAAGGGTCCGTGAATCCTCTGATTAGCTGGTGACAGGTCCGTGAATCCCCTGATTAGCTGGTGAGAAAGAACTCAGGATCAGTCCAATGTCTGTAAAACAAATCACGAAAAAAAGATTGCCTGTCTATAGCGTGCCTGTCCTTAAAAGGGCGTTATGAGATTGAGTGTTTCAATATTGAAATGCTTGAGGTTGAATAGTCGTATAGAATAAAGCAAGTTCCGCGGTTTTTAATTGACTCAAACATGTCGGAGAGATAAGTCTGATGGTGGCTCCAGATGGTAGAGGCATATTTAAGTTTGTATTTAACGAGAATTCAGTACGACATCTGTTTGACGTGTGGCGAAGTTTGATAAAAATGGCCTCTTATGATTACTAAGGTTTCATTTGTGCTTGGAGCGACGTATTACATGTGAGACTTCCATGGCAGGTCGGAACTTAAATGAACACCACAATATTATTAATTAGAAGAAACGTTAGTTAGTGAAAGAATAGCAAATTGACAAGCGTAAGTCGGTTGATTACGCGATTTAGAAAAAAAACATATTTTTATTTAAGGTGATTAATAGACATGAGCCACTTCGCACGCCACATCTCAATCAAACATAGGTGGCCTTGCAAAGCATTAAAATTAGCCTCATTGTTAATAGCGCCATAAATAAGAACATTGCCGGCAAACAAATGAACACTGCTTATAAGTTGGCTACCAATATCATTAATCTAAATAAAGAAGAGCCACGGGCCCAGCGCGGTTCCCTGGGGTACTCCCGAAATAACTTATAAAGAATAAGAAGTATAGCCTTACCAAATCTCACAGTCTGGATTCTTGTTGTAAGGAAGTTGTTTGTCCAAATAATTCATTAATTAGCACATAATTAGTGTTCATTGCTTTTGTTGATATAAATTGCTTGAACGATTTTGACGAACAAATGAAGGAATTGACCTAAGTCCTCCAAGCTATCTTGAAGCAATATGAACTCCATGGGAACGCGACAGAACAGCACACGACAAAACAGCACGCGACAAAACAGCACGGTCAAAACAGCACGCGTCAAAATAGCACAGTGTCAAAACAGCACGGCGACAAAACAGCACGCGTAAAAATAGCACGCGACAAAACAGCACAGCGTCAAAACGGCACAGCGACAAAAGAGCATGTGCCAAAACAGCACGGCTTCAAAACAGCACAGCGACAAAACAGCACGCATGTAGCAACTTCGAGCGCGCTCTTCACTCTCTCTGCACAAATAATTTCGAACCTCCTTGACCCTTTCATTTTTTTGGCGCTAGGTTGTAAAGGATGGGGGCATACTTGAAGATATTGGGTAGCTAGAGGTGATATTTTCGCGTCGATGTTGGCCGCGTTGTCTGGTCTTTTTTGTAAGACCAGCGAAAGCGGAAAAGTTATTGGGGAAAAGAAACCCATAAGTTCAAGTTATGACCCGTCTGGTTTACGGCGGTCCGGTAAGGTTTCGCAGTACTCGTCGTTTCGTAATTACCACCTAAGCCTAACCCCCCCCCCCCCCCGCCCCCCCCCCCCCCTTCAGAAAAAAAAATAAAAAAGCGGGAGATGCGCCGATTACAGATGCATTGATAGAGCCGGTAAGATTAGGTGACTTTAATGTCGAGCGTATTCAAGGTATACCATTGGCGCCGATTCTGCGCGGTTCATTCGCCGTGAATAATATGTCCAGGAAACACGCGGCTGCAGCTTGCAGGCGAGAAGTCGTTTTGAATTAAATTCACAGATTATTTCCGACAAAGGCCTCGATCGAGGGGAAACCGCAGAAGCAGAAACATGCCACAGCCTCAATGCTGCTGCCGTACAGTATAGGCTGAGCACACTGTTGCCGCAGACGCTTTCTGTTGTTTTTTTGTTTTGTTTTATTTTTTAACAATTGACGACAACATTATCCCGTCCGATTAATTCCTTTTTTTTTTTGTTGCTGACGACATTGCCAGCAAACTTGCGCGTCATAATTAGCAGAACTGCTCGAGAAATCGCCAGAATACGCACAAGCAAAGGCTTCGGTACCGCCCAGGGAGCCTTCATGCGCCCATCGAGCCTTCATGTGCCACTCCGAACTTGCTCCCAAAAAAAACGGATTTGACAAATTGGCCCTCGACGAGTTGGCTTTCGACAAATTGGCCTAGACCCTCCATTTCTTTACAGTGCCTACTTTGAGACATACATTTTTTTTTAACTACATAGGGTTCAGCGTTTTCGGCTTAAACCGAATAAAACCGGTAAAAGTACGCCGAATTATTTTTTTCAAATTCGGTTTTAACTGAAAAAGGTCAGTATTTTCGAGGGAGTTCGGAGAGGCAAAGGGGGGGGGGGGGGGGGGGGGTTATGGTAGGACTCATTACTGACCATATGCCACTTCCTTTCGCAGTTTCCAGCTTGTCTCCGAGATCGGTTCAACGTTCAACAAAAGCACCGGGGGCCCAGGGGTCTTCAGGACGATATCTGAGTTTTTTACCTGATATGAATTTGTGTGGCGCATTCTTTGTTCAAAAAAAAAAAAAAAGAGTTTAATCATGAACTGAACAATGAAAATCAAGAACGTCCGTAAATGCCGCACATTTTTAACACCCCTAGCTTCCGTCTACTAGAGGAGGGCATGCATACGATTGTTTTATTGTCGTTTCTGTGGTCGGCGCGAATTTGCCACCCCTCGCAGTCGTGAAAATGGGGAAAAAACGCACTAAGTACAATGCTTGCACATTTCTGGATTTTGATATTTGCCTCTCGAACCGAAGTGGTAGTAAAGCTCATGTACGTCCAGTGTACGTACAAATACGAGCACACGACGATAATGTCAGATCACGATAGGGTCCCAGCGCGCCTTGCAGAACAGGTCACGTCGGCTGCCACAGACAGCAACCTACCTGGTTTACTCACCATACATTTTAAACAAACGCTTTAATACTGCATTCTCGTCAGTATACTGGTTTTCGTCACTAAACCGAAAAGAACCGAGAAGTTTATGAGTCTACAAATATTCACCGCAAAAACCGAAAATTTCTGTTTGGAATAAAAACCGAAAAATGTACACCGAATTTAGAAATAATAAAAACCGAAAATGCCAAACCCTAGCTATATTGTCAATGTCCTGTTTTGTCGCAGTGCTGTTTCGACGCCTTTCGTTTTGTCGCTGTGCCCTTTTGACGTTGTGCTGTTTTGTCGCTGTGCTGTTTTGACGCTGTGCTGTTTTGACACCGCGCTGTTTTGGCACGTGCTCTTCTGTCGCTGCGCCGTTTTGACGCTGTGCTGTTTTGTCGCGTGCTATGTTGACGCGTGCTGTTTTGTCGCCGTGCTGTTTTGACGCTGTGCTGTTTTGACGCGTGCGGTTTTGACCGTGCTGTTTTGTCGTGTGCTGTTTTGTCGTGTGCTGTTCTGTCATGGTGCCGAACTCCATCACCACGCTCAAAAAAAGTTTTCCTCCAGTATTTGCCGCCCACAGTTCCCATATTTCAAGCTAATTCGTTTCAGCTGCTCTAGTTTCATACATCACCAAAAAGTGTTTTACGAAAAAGTTTTAAATCCCTTTGGGCCATTCCGTGCTGAAGCACAATAAAAATCACTGTATAATGTCGCTCGTTAAACATATTCAGCTAGTGGGACTCTTTAGCTTTATGAACCCATTGAAAGCTTACAATCCTTAAGAAAAAGTTTGTTACTAATAATCAATTATTGGTATCAACTTTTATGTTGCTCAAATGCTAGCACCGAAATCATTTAAATGCCAACAGCGCACGGACCACAGCCAGATTATTTTTTATTCGTAAAGAGGAGTTCACTTAATGCCCGGACCGAGGACAGGTTTTGCAATTGATCTTCCAGGCGCCTGGAATCCCGAGGTGTGCAGTTTGAACGAGGTCTTCAGGACCGGTGTTGTGGTCGGCGAATATTGCCTACTGGACGAAAGAACTCAGATCGCAGGCGTTGTAGGCATTGTGGACCTAAAGGGACTCGGTTTCGAACACGTTCGCCACTACACACCCTCCGTGATCAAGACGTCAATTCAGCTTTGTCAGGTACAGTGTGTCGTTTCCTTTACAGATATCTTCAAACTCAGTATCTGTACTCAAAAGAGTCGTACATGAAAGCATCAACATAAAAATCCAGCACAATTAAACTAGACCGGGAAATGTAATAGAAGTCATGATTGCAGAAAATATATTTCTTCGAACGTGTGATTACTTTCATTAGCCACTCAACGGTTCGTTCACACTATTGAAGAGTGGATACAACCGTCGCGCCCCTAGCAGCTCAGTTGAGAACTAAACCCAAAAAGACAACAACAACAAAACATTTCTTTGGGTGTGTGTTCCTGACGCAGTTGCTCGAGTGACTTAACTGAATGCCGCCTCGGTGTTTAGATGGTGCTCGTGTATAGTCATGGAGGAGAACAAGCAGAATGCTGACGCAGCACTTCTTCCCAAACTGCGCCTAGTAATCGAGGCCGGTATAAACATAGAGGATCCAGTTCACAGGCATTGTGTTCGGTGAACACCAAGCGGCTCCTTTAATTTTATGTCCTCGCCGATAACTTGCTTTGTTTTACAGGACTGCTACCCAATGCGCTTGAAAGCAATATACATCGTAAACAATCCTCCCATATTCGAGGTCATCTACTCCATTGCAAAGCTGTTCTTGAAACAGAAGCTCGTGGACAGGGTAAGAAGAAATGTGTGATTCCGGGGCCTTGAAAAAGAGCAGGCTCTGCTCGAAACGCCGAATAAAGCCTCTGCTGCTACTCACAATTTTTTTCTATATATGGACATTGGCAGGATTAGCTAGCAAGACCCTTCAACGAAAAGCAGTTCTTTCCATGCTCGAGTAAACCGTCCTGGCATTTAAAATTAGCGCAGCGTTCGACAAAACGCCACATATCGCCCACATAACAGATCTCAAACGCGGTTCGTAGCTCCAATCACCTGATTTGGGAACCACTTTTTTTTTTTTTTTGTGTTTGTACTTTTGCCAAAACTCGGCAGCAGTACCTCCAGAAGCGCACGGTATGCACACGATTCGTTTTTTATTGAAGTTTTTCTTTTCTTTTTGATGGTGCTACCACCCTTGGAGTCTATAATAGGTACCCAAATGAAGACTGTGCAAATATTTATAGCCATGGCTGCCAATCTCTCCACGGTTTTAATTTAGTTTATTTGCTCTGTCTATATACCATTTGAACAGTCCTTGGAGATTGGCTTTCTTTTACTGTCTAAAATAAATCATGGACCACTTAGTTATGCAAGCTATCTATTATCTTACCGCGCGCCAGCTGTTGAGAAGAAGATAATATATTCTTTCGGCGACGCTAATCTCCTCAAATCATTGCCTAATATTGCAGTCAAAAAAGGACAGTCGTAAGTCTTGAGTTGGGGAGGACTGTCGAAGGATCGGCCCTCGTGTCTGTTATTGCAGGTTTTTCGAATAGGCCTCGATGGCTTCTCTGGACGTCCACTTACGTATGTACATCTTAAACGCAAGGTGTGGCGAATATTGAAGTACTGAGCATCTTATCATCCATCCGCAGATAAGAAATAAAAATATAAGAACGCCGAAAAATTAATCATGAAGCAAGACGCGTGAATGTAATAGGCCAAGGCCTGCGTAGCGACAGCGGCGACTTCGGCGTACTTTCTAATTATGTATACATGAGCAGTGTGACAACGGCTTTACGGTCCAATGTATGTATACTAATAGGTGGAACGTAGTATTTCAGTTTCTCCAATAGACCTCGACGGCGTTTCTGGGTGCGAGTGTGAGATATGTGTCTTGATCATGCCTTTTTTTACAGATTCACTTTATCGGACGTGACTACGAGAAGCTTTATGAGCTCATTCCCCGTGAACGACTGCCCGAAGAGTACGGTGGCACCCTGAACAATTACGACTTCGACGCATTCGAAAGGGGCTTACGAAGCATGGAGGAGTTTTTTGTGGAGCTCAGCGAGTACGGCTACCGGGGACAGGAAGCATAAACACGTCGGCTGGATCCGGACGAAGTAGGATTATACCAGACGGGCACCTAAAAGGACCTTTACGCGAAAGGTCTTTAGGATTTTAAGACTATCTTTACATTCTGCCGTACAAGACCGTGCAAGTAAATATCATTTAGACGATGTTTACAGCGATTGAAGCCTCGTAGCTCGGTTCAAATGCACAAATCGTGTTCACTCCACAAAAATAATATTTTGGCAATATAGATCTTTTTTTTTTTTTTTTTTTCTTTAGCAAACAATATATTAACAGAGACGAAATGACAAGTCCAGTCCAGTGATTACCACAAAGTCAATTTTCAACCCAAGTGTTGTTTTTTTTTGTTTTTTTTTTAGGGGGGGGGGGGGGCAATTAGCGGTAACCCTGAGCGTCCCCGTCCCGCGCTCACTCAGTTCTAGTGCTCGTTGCTCGGAGCTCACGTTCCTTTCCGTGCTTCTGCTACGCTTTTGCCCTGCCCTGTTCGGCTGGGTGTCGTGTTCGTGCTTGAGTTTTATCGCAAGCGTCGGAGCTCCTTTAGCCAATCCTCCCAAAGTCGTATCAGCGCCCAGGTCGAGTCAACGCTCCAATGAAAGCGCGGCGACCCCTTCCTAATCGTGGACGCTCCTGATAGTTCGACATATCGCACCATGCGAGAGTGAGATAGAGAAATATATATGTACAGAAATATTAAATATACACGGTACCAGTTAGAAATACACTCTTAAAGGATGATAAATTATAAAGTAGAGAAATGAAAGCTATAACTATGGTTGTGAGGAAAATCGAGAGGAGGAAAACCGAAGTGCCGAAGCGGACGACGCGAGCTGGCCGAGCAGGCGACGACGAGGCCATAGCTGGAGCCGTGAGTACAGAAAAGTATTAGTCGATTGAGGTTTGTACACAATATACGTGAAACGCGCTCTTTTTTAATAATAAAAGTGCAAACGCATTAATTTTAGATATCGGTTCGATCTGTTAGTTCAATTCGCTTCTCTAGTTTAGACCGCTGCCTTTAGCAGTCCTGAAGGAGTTGCAGGAACTCAGGTTCACGAAAAGGACCTTTACGCTAAATGCCATTTGAGTTGCCGTGTGGTACTGCCTAAATGACATTTACATTAAAGGTCCTTTGGCGTAAAGGTCCTTTTAGGTGCCCGTCTGACAGGGGTATTGGTTAGTTTGTTTTACGAGTATGCATGGACAATTGACGTTTGCTGAATTCGGATGAGTGTGTGGTTATTGATGAATTTGAAATTCATGTAATTACTTCAATCCCGCCATGCGAAGTGAATAAAATGAAGCTACGTTAAACGTGAAGTGAATGTCATGCTGATATGCGCCAAGGAAACAATCACTATCAACCCTTGGAATAACGAAACTGGGATTGACTTATGGTTTCTTGCGGATATTATTTCCGGCTCTCAGACCCTTAGGTGTGAGAACGCCGCAAGACCTTCGCTTTTTCGGTTCTTACCTTCTGTAGGATATGAAATACGGATTTTGAAGCATTTACCGGTTTATTGACTAAATTTGTCTTGATCCGCCGTTAGGATCACCTCGCATATGAATGTGTAGTTTTGAGGCTGACAGGGGTCAGGTGGGAATTATGAGACAGCTTGAAAAGTAGCTTCGGCAATTTGGACCTACATTTACAATCCCTCCTGGCAGTGGCGCACAGACCGACGGGGGGGGGGGGGGGGGGGGGGGTGCGCTCAATCCACCCCCCCCCCCCAAGAGCTTTTCTTTTTTTTTTTGTCACCGCCGACGGTTGGTAGGGCGAGGAGAAAAAAAAGCATTTCTGCCTGACGAGTTGGAACCTTTCCGATACTCAGTCTGCCCACTTTCCTTGCTATCATCATCGGAGTACTGGACATTTCTGTGAACATACTATACTTCATTATGGCTAGTAAGCACGCATTCGTAGCCCTTCGTTCTGCAGCACTGAAAGCGAGCGTAGAAGAAAATGATCCCAGGTGCAACGTAGATACATATGATCCCATATGACAATCGTGGTGAACATAAAGTACAGGGTGAATTCATTGTAGACAAATTTAAGCTCCCTCAAGTAAAAAAAATAACGGAAAATATATATATATTTTTTTTTTACGCTAAGATTTTCTTTTTTATTTTTGCGACATCATCACATGCACGTTTACCACGACTGAAACACCGGTGGAACAAAAAGTAAGCAAAATTTACTGACATATTATCCGCTTCATTTTGTCGAAATAAAAACCGCAGTGGCCGGTTAATCATTTGTCGTGTACTACACGCGAAGCATAAAAATGTAGTTTGTTTTTATGTTTTTCACTAATTAAACTTATCCTTCCATAATTTTACAAAAAAAAAACAAATACGGACGACTTTATGTACTTCTGCTCCTTGCATATTCTAAGTGCTTCATTTTTATTCGATTAATGTTTTTTGAATGCAGTGAATGCAGGGTCTCTAAATGTTGTGGCTAATTGGTCGGCCGTCTCGAGGGCCGGAAAATAAAATAAATAAGAAAATGCAAAATAGCAACAAAAATATTAGACGTTTACAATTATCTGTAATGCCGCATTAGAGCCCAGCTCTTGAAGAGGAGGAGAGGAGGGTACGGAGGGGAGGGTCAGGTGTGACGTCACGACTGTAAAAGTTTCTCGATAAATTTGGCGGGAACTTTTTCCTCGAAATTTAGCAGGAAAATCTTACCCTCGTGACGTCACACGTGACTTCACATATAAAGTCACGAGGGTAAAGCTTTCCCGCTAAATGTAGCGGAGAAACTTTCCCGCAAAATTTAGCGGGAAAATTTCCCCCTAAATTTAGCGAAAAAATGTGCCGCCAAATTTAGCATCAAAATGCTGCCCTTGTGACGTCACACGTGACGTCACGTGTGACGCCATTATAGAAAACGTCCCATAATGTAACGGGCTGTTCCGCCGACGGCGACGGCGACGCCGCTCAAGCCGCAAACGGGCGCCTAAGAGCTGCGCTCTTAAACTAAATCTATACACAAATTTAGCTCTGTTAACGCCGTGGCGATGGCGCGTCGGGCGCACTTCCACTCTGGGGTTGTGGGCGGGAAAAGTGTCTGGTTAGGGTATTCCGCTAAAAGGCATTCGACGCTTTAAAATATTTCCAAAAACGTGCCCCCCTTTCCCTCTTTTAATATACAGGGTTGTTTTCACCAAAACAAAATAAACAATGCACCAAACCGCTTATTCTCCGGCCAAATGTAACGCTAGCGGTCGGAACCAGACGCCAAAGTTCCAGAACTAACCGTCAATTGATTCGAAAGTAATAACTGATATTCTAAAAATTTTAATGAGACAATGGGGCAAGTTCTTAGTAACTGGCGTTATTGCGTCCTATATATTCGAGGACTGTTCATTCTTTAAACTTCAATATTCAACCGTCATTTTCATATAGGAAAATTGAAGAAAATCGCTCTAACCTTTTAATAACATAACGGTTAGTTCTGAAACGTTAGTGGAAAGCTCGTGCCACATTAGTGGTGGGGCACTAGTGCTACAACCCACTAGTGCTAAAATAGGGCGGAAAATTAGCGTTTTGGCTGTGCGCAGTTAAAAGTAGCGGTAAAACAACCATGTAAAGTTTTGGGTGGACCGAGAAATGCTGTTGAGATTAAGATACAGGAGGTCCGGATTTTTTTGAGGTTGGTCTTCTAGGTGCCTGGAGTCCCAACGTGTGTAATTTGAACGAAGTCTTCAGGGTCGCTGTTGTGATAGGTGAATGCTGCCTGCGGGACGAGACAGCTGAAATCACAGGCGCTGTGGGTATTGTGGACCTGTAAATGCTCAGTGTTACCTCTCTCCATTACAGCGCCTTCGCGATCTGGACGGTCATTCAGCTTCTTCAGGAATTGGCGCCGAGAACCATGCTAGGTGGCGCCATTGAGTAGCACGTGAATGTCACGTGATACCCGGAATGTGAAAATGTTCGTTTTGCTTGCATCACGCGCGCCGTAGCGGTACTGCGTGATTCCTTGCTTTCGGACGCGGCGCGTTGGGAAGCCCGCTGACAATAGTCGAGCCAATTGGTTCCTAAAGCTTGTCTGTATCCTGTGAGCACACGACTTTCTGAGGGCGGACTTTATCCTGTGAGCACACGACACAGGATACAGGCAAGCTTTAGAAACCAATTGGCTCGACTATTGTCAGCGGGCTTCCCTGATTCGGTCTTGAGAAGTGTGGCGGAAGCCATCCTGCAAAGAGTGAAGGGACACACTGCTGGAAAAAGGATGCAGCCAACACTGAGGAATGTGAAGCCTGAAGCGGTACCATACGTGCACAAACTCTCGCATAACCTCAAGGAGGTTGCGAACAGACATGGGGTGCCGATTGTGTTTACAGCTCCGACAAAACTCGGCCAACTCTGCCCCCGCATTACTGGAGAAAGCAGACAGAAGCGAGGATCCAGCACAAAGCATGCCAGGCCATTTGTTGCCTGCAAAACAGAGGTCGTCTATGAAATCCCGCTCACGTGTGGGAAGACATGCGTGGGGCAAACGGGAAGGTGTGCCACCGACCGTCTCAGGGAGCATGCTCAAAATTTAAAGACTAATGACGGTGCGCATTTGCCTGCACACTGCAGAAACTCTAAGTGTGAGCCACGTGTTTCTGATACTGTAATTTTGGGCGGAAGTAAGGGACAAGAAGCACGTGAGCTGTTGTAAGCCTTCTTTATCAAAAGGAAAGGCGATCTATGTGTGAGCGATACCTCGATAAGTTTGTATAATGCTGAGAAACGCTTCCTTGATAAGCTTCTGTGACGAGCGCGTGATAGTGACACGACGCATGCGTGGACGCATTGAAGTTGACGATATAGCTGTATGTTTTATAAAGGTTTCCTCAATACAGTTGTAAGTTGCGCTCGTGTTTCTTTCTCTCTCTTGTGTCCGTCTTTTTTGCGCAAAACCATGTATCCAAACGTTGACCAACTCGCCCAACAACAAACTAATTTAAAGTATTGCCTTTATTATGGTGCAGTGGCTGCTGTGTAATGTTGTGATCGAAAAAAAATTAACCTATGCCTACCGATAGATTAGCCTATGCCTACCGATAAAAAATGACCTACGCCTACCGATAGACGCCATCGTGATTTTTGTTTTCGTGCAATAAAAGGTGCATTACTTAACGTCTTTGCTCAATACTACGAGTGTTCACTATCCTTGACGGCTTATGGCCAGCAAGACAAAATGTCATATAACGTCCCATAATACCAGCTGTGATATTGTGGTTTGTTGTGTTTTATTGACAGTAGTTCTAACCGGACCACAAAAGTACTTTCTTCCCTCGCAGGTCAGACATAACAAAATCCCAAATCTCCTCTCTTTTTAATTATATTGTCATTACGGTCATCGCATAATATCTACATCTCGTACACTGTCTCAGATGTCTCAAATGGCGCAGTGGCCACACCAACTGTGGACCCCGCGCTTAGGCAGAAACCAGATTCCCTTGCGGCGAAGCATATGCCCAAGCAGCACATATTTTGGACAAGCCATGGCCGATGGCTGGGGATGATCTTGTGGCCAGTGGCCAAAGAGCGGCCGCATTGATTCGCCAATGCTCTCCGATGCCTGATGGCCAGTGGCCATTGGCCAATGGCCAGAGGAAAGCCAGTCATCGGCCAACCTCTGGCCACTGTCTGGTTACTGGCCAAAGGACCATTGCCAGACAGTGGCCAATGCTTGGCCAACTCTGTGCTGCTATGGATCTGCGCATGCGCAGTACCGACAGCAGCGCCACCGCAATGGCATGACCTCAGAGAGTTGCCCTAGTGGAATGAATCAGACAGCGTCAAAACCGCGCCATCATTGAGTTCTTCGTGTTTCTATACGTGTTGTACATCGCTGCA